TTACTCACCAATACAGAATATACCTCCAGCCAGTTGCATCGGCTTGACCATGCAGGTCTTGGTGGACAGTGTATAGTGCCATCCACGGTCAACTTGGGCCTCACACTCCATACTGGGTGGACTTGTCAGCTCACGAGCAACGTTATGATCAAAACTCAAATACAGTCATCCATGACAAGTCTTTTGTCCAAGCAGTTGGCCAAATTCCGAACGAGGCTTGCAGCTGCGAACAGAGCTAACCTCAGCATTCACGCTAAGATCATATACTTTAACACTTTTTCGCTGAGCCTCTTCTATTATTCGCAAACCCACCGATTCTTCTCCCCCGTGCTCATAAGACCACTCTATCAAGCCATGGCGGACTTTCTGTTGAAGCGACATTGGTTCCCGTCAGTCGCTCTGCTGAAGGCAACGTTGGCCCTGGTATAGCACTCCTTGTCAAAGTCATGATCAGATAGGTTGGAGTGCCCACTGAGGAAGCTGGATTGGCCATGGAGGACAATGCAATGTCTTGCAGTGGCCCCGGCAACCTTGACCGCTGTCTCGACATTTGTGCGCCGACGGGACTGCTGGCAGAAGCTGCGAAGACTCTGGGCACTTTCCTTCCTTGTTGTGAGAACGAGGATGTTATCTCGTTCTTCGTCCTCCACAGGGAGCCATTCCTCAATGCGCCTGTAAGCTGCAGAGGTGGCCTCTGGCGGTGGGTCCGCCTGGGCAGCTCTGCCAAAGAGGAAGAAAGACCAGCAAGTGGAGGCACTGTAGGATTGTCAGGAAGATTTATGACGACTTCTTCATTGTTGCACAAATCGTAGGCCAGTGGTGTTGGCCTCATGCTTGCGGATGGATCCTGTGCCTATGTGCCACTGTCCATTCTTGAGGCTGCAGAGCATAGGGCACTGTATTCCTATGAGTGGCTCGTATACTTCTTGCGCCATTCGTGCACTGGTGGGGAGCATCACACTCCACTGGTGGACTCCTGACACTCCTGACCTGTCTGAGGCAACGCTTGCCTGTTGGAACTGAAATCCATGTCCCGCACGAGTGATGGCATATCCCAAACCTGCAATGAGCCCTTCAGGTGTGGTAAAGTCTACCCTACCGAGTTCTTTATGAGCAGTTTGGAGACAGACCCCTACTGGTGTACTGCTGGGACATTCCTCGACCGTTTTCCATTTGCTACCCAGGCGACCATGACTTGCCGCGCAGGCAGCGTCGGCCAGGTTATCCAGGGGAACTTCGGTACAGCCATGCAGGAGGCTGCAGATGACTGCCGGTAGCTCATGTGGCAGGTACCAGCGGTGCGCAGCTCGCAAGCCTATGGGGGCTTTTAAGAGCAGTGCCCTATGTTCCCTTAAGTTATCTGCAACTCCTCCAGGGCTTTGCTTTGGGTCTCCGAGCAGCAGCCTGAGAAATGGCTGGCGCGGGACGGCTGGGACAAAGGCTGACTTTAGATCCATGTCCTGCTGCGCTTCTTCCCCCACGAGGATGTCATTCTTTTCCATGTGTGCTCGCAGGGGCGAATGTATGTGTGCTTTTTGTTCCCAAACCGAACCTGTGGTGGCAATAACGACTTTGGCTTTGGGGATGGCCGCTGCGCATTGCTGCACGGCAATATCATACTGGGTGCTTGCAGTGTTCGCAGCGGCTTCTTCACGCCCGACAGCCCTGACAAACAGCCTAGCATGCTCATTGTCTAAACACAGCAAGGCTAACAGCTTGGTGATTGCACGGCCTGCAGGGTTTTCTTTATGGACTACTCCTATTTTGAGGTTGGTAGTCATGGCCAGCCATACCAGGAGGAAGGTGAGGGACCGTGTTTTCCCCGCTCCAAAGACCCCAGCTATGGCCAAGGTCGACCGCCCCGTTTGGAGGGCAGCTGCCAACGAGAGTGCTACCGACATAATGTGGGCACTATCTGTACGAGCAGCAATGCACAGCTTCATGCCTGTTTCGGTGGCCAGGGGACAATACCTTGGGACATCGCCCGTCACCAGCAGCGCAAAAAGCGAATGCAGACTTTGTTGAAGGACATCAGCGCCGTCGAAGTGGTAGAAGACTGGGCAGGAGTAGGGGATCCCCAATGCAGTGGTCTTGTGTTCGAGTGGCATTGTGGCCATTTGCAAGAGGTGATCCGCAGAGGCTGTGTTGCCTACCTCGGCTAGGCTGAGGATGCGAAGCGGTGTAGTGTGGGGCACTAGTTCTCTCACCTTGATCCGGCACACACCGGCCCAACAGCTGCAACAGTGCCTCGTCTGGGAGGTGAATGGCAGGCACAAGCGTGTCAATTGCCGTGCTCCACTCTCTTTGATCCATAGCTGTTTCAAACCGAACCCAGGACGCAAGCCGCAAAGGTGCGGCCATTCTGTCTCGTGTTGGTGTGACTTCTGGGTAGGCCAGTTTGAGATCAGTGAGACTGTGTCGACCTCGCGGGAGCTGGCGCCTCAACCAGTGAAGGTATTGGTGCTTACAGGCACCCACTCGCCAGACTCGGTCACCAACGTGTACTCAAGTCTGTGCGAGATTACGTGACGTTCTACTTGGCTTGGCTGCCAGTCACACCATGTCCTCACCCTTTTGGCATCGGTAGTGCACCAAGTTTGGCGGAGATTCGACACTCTGGGAACAACGTGCGGAGGGCTGGGAACAGCACTGCCCCTGCGCTGCTGCCTGCACTGAAGCCTTCTAACCTGAATTCTCTGCCAAGGCAAAGCCCTTCAGCGCTGGTGTTGGGGCCACTTTGTCGCAAGTGTGGCAGGCACACCAGGATTTTCTCTGGCTGCATCGAGAGCAACTTCCACCATAACCCATTCAGAAATGTAGCATGCGGCAGCCTCCGATGCGCTGGTAACAGTCGTGCCGCTTCCAACATGATTTGGGTCCGTCTGTACAGCAGCTGCCGGGCCGAAGCCAAGCTCTTGCCATCTCTCGCAGGGTTGCGATGTGAGGGACATCAGCATGGCACTTGGAAGGTCCTTGCAAAGCCCTCTCCTTGCCAGAGCATTTGTTTCAGGCCAGTCGCATCCTTCCTAATCGTGCGCGGCCGGTTATATTCCATGCCTTTGGTGAAGCGAAACACGACGCTCCGAAGGTTCTGGACCAACTCGCACAGCTTGGATGGGAAACCTTGCCCATAGCGCTGCTGGAAATGCCGCACTACCGGGCTTCGTGGGTGGTAGACACGTGGAAGCCAATAGGAAGCCCGGTGGCCCTCGCAGGGAACAGTGCCTTTCGGTTCTGCCTTCTAATGCAATGGCACACACTTGCCACAGATCTCCTGCAGAACCTCCTGGGGGACAGTGAACATCGGATCCAGAGATAGCCGGTGGAGCCCCAGTAGAAACAAATGAAGAACTCCTGTACGACAACTCCTGCAAGCGGCCACAGATCAGAACTCCCAAGAGTCCGGGTCCTAGGTGGCGAGGAATCCCTGCACCCAGCTGCCCAACCCGCAGCGGAACGTGCCATGCCTGTTTGTGCCATGGAAAGTTGTAGCACAGTAATTATGAATCCCAGAAGTGCAGGCAGAACCCCCCTCTAATCTGCGGAGCGGAATCGCACACGCCGTAGAACTCCAGTATGGGCCCGGGACCTTCGGCGAAGGGGGGCTTCGCCGAAGACGAAGGGGGGTACCCTTCGGCGAAGCCACCCCCTTAAGGGGGGCTTAAGGGGGGGCTTAAGCCCCTTCGCCGAAGGCTTAAGGTCTTTAGACGAAGAGGGGGCTTAAGGGGGGGCTTAAGGGGGGGCTTAAGGGGGG